CACAACAGACACCCTGTGAGGCAGGTGGAGCTGAGAGAGCTCTCTCTCAAGGACTGCCCCCGAGAGAACAGCTCTGACAGAACTACGGTTTGCCCAAGGTCATCCAGCAGCTGCGAGCGGAGGAGTGGGGAATCGAACCCGGTTCTCCCAGATTAGAGTCCGCGCACTTAACCACAACACCGAACTGGCTCCTTTCTTGACACCAATGACTCATGCAGCGCACAGAGGGCCTCCCGCCAAAGGCAAAAAAGAGACCAGACAGGGAGTGATGATTTGTCAGGGACAGGGACCGGACATTACAGACTGTCCCTGTTAAAGAGGAGCACTTGGCTTGTCTTTCCCTGGTCATCCGGTTCTTGCTCCTCCCTCTGGGCAAAGCTGGGTGGTTGAGCACGGGGTGCACCCCCCCCGAACCCCTTGTTCCCAGTCCTCCGTGCCTCTGAGCCCTGCCCTACTTCAAGGGTGCGGTCCTTCAGCCCCATAACATATCTATGGAAGGGCGTGTGGATTAGAGCTGTCAGGTATGAATGATGGGGCTCCCCAGGCAACCGGGGCCAATTTCGAGCCATCTTCTTAAATGAGGCTCTAATCTGAGTGCGTGGATCTAGGCTCCCAGCGGTCGAATTCCTGGGCTCGGCCTCCCTTGGCGTGCGTCAGGAAATCCCATCGTGCCTGACACTTTCTCCTCCTCCAGGGACGCAGGCAGACATCGCAAAGCCTCCTCCGTCTAAAGGCAGCCATGCGTTAGAGACAGTGCGGTGCAGTGGCTAGAGCTGGTTCAGAATTCCCAGCCAGCTTTGACGCTCAAAGAAGAAGAGGAGGAGGAGGAGGAGGAGATTGGATTTATACGCCGTCCTTCACTACCCAAAGGAGTCTCAGAGCGGCTTACAAACTCTTTTCCCTTCCCCTCCCCACAACAGACACCCTGTGAGGTAGGTGGGGCTGAGAGAGCTCTCTCGAGAACTGCCCAAGGTATAGATAGGGGCTCTGGGGCAAGTGATGCTCTGTCATCTTGGTGCTTGGGGGGGGGGGGTCAACAGTGGGAGGGCTTGCCCTGGCCCCACTGGTGGACCTCCTGATGGCACTGGTATTTCTGGCCACTGTGTGACACAGAGTGTTGGACTGGATGGGCCTTTGGCCTGATCCAACATTGGCGTCTCTTATGTTCTTATGAACTTGTGACTGACCCAAGGTCACTCCAGCAGCTGCATGTGGAGGAGTGGGGAATCAAAGCCGGTTCGCCCAGATTAGAGTCCGCGCTCCTAACCACGACACCAAACTCTGGGTGGCTTTGGGTCATTTGCTCTCTTGGTGTGTTCTACCTCATAGCAGGGCTGCCAGCGGAAAAGCTCCAAAAGAAGAACTCGAAATGACATGTTCTACATGTGAGAACAGTCCCAGGACTTTATTAGAATAAACTGACTGTAAAGTCTGGAATTAAAGCTGCTTTTTGCCCATAGGGCACCCTTAGCAGTGTTACAGAGAAAGCCAGGCTAAAAGCATGCTGGATAAATGAAGGCAGGAAGGAAGGCAGGAAGGCTGTCTTTCGTTGTAAATTATGAACAGTTCCCTGTACTAAGGAACCCAGGTCAAGCCTACCTCACAGGGCTGTTGTGAGCAATGTAGGTGCCCTGAGCTCTGGGGAGGAGGGACCAGATAAAATGGCATTGCATAGCTGCACTCCTCCACTTGCACCTGTTGGATGACCTTGGGGCAAGCCATAGTTCTGTCAGAGATGTTCTTGAGAACCAGTTTGGTGTGGTGGCAAAAGTGTGCGGATTCTAATCTGGGAGGACCGTGTTTGATTCCCCACTCCTCCACTTGCACCTGCTGGATGACCTTGGGCAAGCTGTAGCTCTGCCACAGCTGTTCTTGAAAAAGAGCAGTTTCTGTCAGAGCTCTCTCGGCCCCACCTACCTCACAGGGTGTCTGTTGTGGGGAGGGGAAAGAAAGGAAGAATCTCTTGTAAGCCACTCTGAGACTCCTTCAGGTAGTGAAGGGTGGGGTATAAATCCAATTTCTTCTTCTCTTCTTCTTTGCTGGTCACTAGATGGGGGTGTGCAAGGACCTATGGAGAGTCCTGTTGAAGCCCCACAACCACCCTCTGGAAATCTTACTCAGCCACCTCTCCAGCTTCTCAGATTTGAGCTGCCATTGCTGTCTTTACACCCACAAAGACTAGAAACATATTATCGGGGGGGGGGGAGTTTACACTCAGAAGCACTGGCTTCTGTTGAAATGAGCCAGCTCAGGTCGCTGGGTCAGTTTTTGAGATGTTATGGAATGCTCATGAACATTCCAACTTGTCAGGGCTTTTCTTGGCTCAGGCACAAGACAGGGCTGTGCGTACTCTGGCAGAGAAGGGAGTCGGCACCATAATCAAGGGGTTGCTTTGCAGCTGAGATAGTGGTATGTGAATGACAAATGGGAGTAATGTGTGCGTTTCTTTCTTTATTACCCCAAAATTACACCCTGCCTTTCCCTTTAAAAAAGGCATAAAATCAGAACAATAAAAATACCAGTGTATGAAAATATTGGAAGGGGTGTGGGAAAATGTGTGTGTGTAAGGGAGAATATGAATGAAAGAATAAGGGAGAGCTAGGCAGTGATTCTGTGGTTATTTTTAATTTGATATTTTAAAAATTTTAAATAAATGTTTAACTTTTAATTTACAAACACATAAACATAAAATATCAACTTCAATCTACAAGCCAGTTTGGTGTAGAAGTTAGGAACGTGGACTCTAATCTGGGAGAACTGGGTTTGATTCCCCACTCCTCCACATGCAGCTGGCTGGGTGACCATGGGTCAGTCATAAGTTCTTTCAGAGCTGTGCTCTCAATGGCAGTTCTCTGTTGTGGGGAGGGGAAGGGAAGGAGAGTGTAAGCTGCTCTGAGACTCCGAGTGAAGGGCGGGGTATAAATCCCATCTCTTCTTCTTCTCCATCTAAATCATACATAGAACATTAAAAATCGTCTAAAATCATCTACAACTACAATAATCTATGACCATCTAAATCATACACAAAACATAAACATAAACACAATAATCCGAGTTACACAAAAACATAAAACTGTAACAATCTAAATCATACAATTATCAATCAAATCAATATTTATACAGAAGTCATAGATGTTCTCTTGATTTTTCACTTCTAGTTAAATATCTTTATTCTATCTTTTCCATCTTCATATCCGATAATATTTTTATTACAAACATATGTTGCCTGGCTCTTTCTTTGTAGCATTTTCCATTTTAATTTAAATTTATTCTTGATTTTCAGCTATATAATTAAGATACTTTTCATTTTTCTTGCAATTCCGAAGTCAATCTATTGTGTATACATGTTAATTAATTTTGCCATTGTCCATATTTTCAATTATGATTTCAGTATTTACTTCTTCCTAAAGTGCTGAATGTTTTTTCTCATGCATTTCGGTTATTAGACCTCATTGGTTAAATGAATGAATGAATGAATAAGGGAGAAAGGATGCAGAGAAGATGCGTAAGAACTGCAGGAAGGCCCTCATGCGCATTTACGAGTGTGAGCTAGGCTTGAATCACACCCTAGCCACAAACGCTTTAGGCGGCCTCAGAAAAACCCCTTATGGGAACTATAATACTGACCTATTTTACAACAGCGTAGTTACTCTTACACCAAGATAATGAGGAATTTCACATTACCCTTTTAAACCCATTTTGAAGCCATTTTTGACCCGTCATGGAGTAAACTGGTATAGGGCTGCCATTTCACACATGGCTTTCCCCTTCTGGTAAAGATCTGGATCTGAAGCAGACTGCACCGCTTTTTCCCACTTCCCCCCCACCGTTTTTAGCCCATGCGGGCGATCTCTGGCTTTTTTTTTTTAACGTTCGTTTTGGAGCGCTATAGCGCTATAGCACTATAACAAAACATTCCAGGCATTCCAATGGGATTGATATAGTGCTATTCCGTTATAGTGCTATAACGCTATAAAGCAAACGTTCTAAAAAAAAAAGCTGGCGGGCGAAAAACGGCGGGAAAAAGCGCATCGGAACCGGGAGAGGAAACTGAAGACTACTTGGAAGCGGTTGACAGGTAAAACGCTTCAGCCCCGTTTCCTAAACAGGACAGAAGCGTTTGTGTCTGAAATTCCAGGGCTCTTTTTGTAGCAGGAACTCCTTTGCATATTAGGCGACACACCCCTAATGTAGCCAGTCTTCCAAGAGCTTACAGTAGCTCCTGTAAGAAGAGCTCTGTAAGCTCTTGGAGGATTGGCTACATTGGGGGTGTGTGTTGCCTAATATGCAAAGGAGTTCCTGCTTCAAAAAGAGCCCTGGCAAATTACAAATATATTCTGGTAGGGAACTGGTTCTAAAACGGTTCTGTCTGAAACCATTTGGGAACCGTTCCTCTTCCAGATTATATCGTCTGTCTGAAATTCCTCACTGTTTGTGAGATGCTTTGGACACTCTTAAAGTGCTACATGAATGCTACGTAATATGTGCCACTCCGTTCACACCTGAACTTATGGTGAACACATGTAACTGCTTTATACCGAATCAGACCTTTGGTCCATCACAGTCAGTATTGTCCACTCAGACCAGCAGTGGCTTTCCAGGATCTCAGGTGGGAGGTCTTCCACATCACCTCCTACCTGATCCTTTTGACTGGAGATGCCGGAGATTGAGCCTGGGACCTTCTGCATGTCAAGCAAATGCTCTCCCACTGAGCCACGGCCCCTCCCCAAAGTCAGTCTTGTCTACTCAGACCGGCAGCAGCTCTCCAGGGTCTCAGGCTGAGGTCTTCCACATCACCTCCTACCTGATCCTTTTAACTGGAGATGCCGGGGATTGAACCTGAGACTTTCTGCATGCCGAGCAGATGCTCTGCCAGTGAGCCAGCCCCCCACTTTTATCTGTAGGTTGGTCCCCACCTACCCATTTGAAAGCCAACATGCGTGCATGTGTGTCTGTTAAGAGGGATGCTGATTTGAGACTCACCTCCATTCTTCTTGCAGGATCAAAGGGAGGACAGGTAATGATCACCGACCCCTCTGAGCTGGAATGGGCTATCCAGACACTGGTGAAGAACTACGACAGGTACTCCAGTAGAGGCGGATGCTGCGGATGCTGCTGCTGCTGCAAAAAACAACAGCGCGGAATCAGCAAGGGAGGGTTCCAGAAGATGTTGACCCATGAGCTCAACCACATGCTGACGGTGAGATGATCCTTGGTGGCCTTCCCGGGGCAGCTGGGATGACAAAGGGTTTAGAGGGCCGCAGGGTGCAATAACTGATGTGATTCCTGCATGTACAGTCTTTCCTGGCTTCCGGAGAGAAGCCAGCGCTGAATGTGCCGATCACATGGCGATGTGCACAAAAACGTAAACACGCAAGCATAAAATACAAACTACAACCATCTACAGTCACCTAAATCATACATAGAACATAAGCAATCATCTACAACTGGAAGAGAGAAGAGAGGAGAGGTTGGATTTATACCCCGCCCTTCACTACCCGAAGGAATCTCGGGGCGTAGTGTTAGGAGTGTAGTGGTTAGGAGCACGGACTCTAATCTGGGAGACCTGGGTTTGATTCCCCGCTCCTCCACATGCAGCTGCTGGTGTGACCTTGGGTCAGTCACAAGTTATTTCAGAGCTGTCCTCCCAAGGGCAGTCCTCGAAAGAGCTCTCTCAGACCCACCTACCTCACAGGGTGTCTGTTGTGGGGAGGGGAAGGAAAAGGAGTTTGTAAGCTGCTCTGAGACTCCTTCAAGTAGTGACAGGCGGCGTATAAATCCAATCTCCTCCTCCTCTTCTTCCTCTTCCTCTTCTTCTCCAGCTACAAAGACTGGGGAAATGGGTGGAACAGTATATATTGTCTTTTGAGCAATAGCCCAGCACAAAGCATCACAGCAAACCATTCAGTTATCACCCATTTACAAAGAAAGGAGAGAGGGGATGTTTCACAATCAAGCCGGCTGCAAATCATCTAGTCCAGTGATGGCGAACCTTTTCGAGACCGAGTGCCCAAACTGCGACCCAAAACCCACTTATTTATCGCAAAGTTTATTCACGGCAATTTAACCTGAATACTGAGGTTTTACTTTAGAAAAAAACAACCCATACATTAACTTAAGATGATCCAAACAAAGTAAGGGAAGCAATCCCAAATGCTTTCATTTACTTAAAATTATTTGGCAGAGAATTCGACACTTTAATGATGGTCTGGGCCTGGCTGGGGCGATGGCACGGGTGCCCACAGAGAGGGCTTTGAGTGCCACCTCTGGCACCCGTGCCATAGGTTCGCCACCACTGGTCTAGTCCTTTGGCTATCTTAATGGGAACAGCTTGACACCCGGGGTGTAAAAGCAAGCCTGCCAGCATGTATGGAGGAAAGCAATCGACTAGTGCAATGTGCAATAGTCAGCCAGTCGGCACTTGTATCAGGGAATGGCAAACTGTTATGTTAGGAAATGGACTAGCACACTTTTTATATGCAGAGGTGTGTAGGAAGGTTTCTCACATTCTTCAGGTAGGTGGTTATTATTCTCGCTTCTCATCGGCCCTTTCCCTCCGCTTTCCACCCTCAGGATACCAAGAACAAGCAAGCAGCCAACAAACTCATCTGTGACTTGGATGAGAACCACGACGGGAAGATCAGTTTCGACGAGTACTGGACCTTGATCGGTGGCATCGCCAGCCCAATCTCATGCCTGATCCGACAGCAGGAAGAGAACGTGAAGTTCACTAAGTAGAAAGCCAAATGGGAGCAAAGACGTCCGCCGCCCCACTCCAACAATTGCCTATCTCCAACTCCCCCTGCTGGCTAGGTTGTGTATGACATGTACCACCTGCATAGGCTTTTGAGTTTTCTCCTCTTTTTGGTGTTACATTGAAGGCTGGAAAGATTGAGGACATGGATCTATCTGTTTAAACTGCATATCCAGCTATCTGTTCCCATTGGATACCAGTCCTCGGGGATATTGTTATCTGGAGGTGGTTGGTGGCAGCTCATTGTGTGTCATATTCAAACTGTGAATACCATTGCAATAAAATCTGGAGTCAGACCTGAGTATCAGAGTCCTGTGTGTGTGTGTGTGTCTTCTTGGTCCTCCTTTTCAAACATTCTCCCTGCTTCCGTGGATGAAAGAACACCACAACAGCTTTGCTGGATTGAACCAGAAGTTCACTTATTTATTTATTTATTTATTTATTTCGGCTTGTATTCGGCTTGTATTTGGTTTGTATTCTGCTCTCCCTGCAAGTGGGCTCAGAGTGGACCAAAACAGCAAATCCACAACAAGAGTTAAACATTTCACAAGAAATAGCTTTGTTTTTAACTGTTTTAACTATCAAATAAGCACTGCAGTTTAACTGGAGCCGCTAGGCTGTAAACCAGACTGTGAGTCTTCACCTGATGGGCTGTACAGAGATGGAAGGTTCAGGAAGGGAGGCCAGGAGATGGAATAATTGAATGCACGCCGCCTCACCCAAAGGTCTGGTGGAACAGCTGTTTTACAGGCCCTGCGGAACTGTAATAGGTTTCGCAGGGCTCTGATCTCCAGCGGGAGCATGTTCCACTGGGCTGGGGCCAGGGCAGAAAAAGTCCTGGCCCGGGTCGAGGCTAAGCAGACAACCTTTGGGCCGGGGACAACCAGCAAATGTTGGTCTGCTGAACGCAAGGCTCTCCGGGGTACATATGGGGAAAGGAGGTCCCTCACTTAGTCCAGCAGTCTGGCCAGATGCCATTGGGAAGCCCAGAAGTTGGGCAAAAGAGTATGGATGTCCCCTATTATTTGTCTCCAGAATTTGAGATTCAGTGGGAGACTGCTTGAGAGCATGGAGCTTCCCTTGAGTGATCACAGCCAAGAACCTTTGATGGGCCTCCCCTCCCTGAATATTAGGGTTGCCAAGTCTCCCCGGGGGGTGGGAAAACCCCCACCTGAGAGGCCTGTTCCCTGCCAGCATGGATCGGGCTGCCCGGGGGGACCCCACCGCCAAAATGCGTGAGGTGCCTGACGTGAGCATGTCACCCAGAGGTGATGTAATCGCACCGGGCACGTTGCGGGGGATGTTCTATCATCTGAGGGAAAACTCTATGGTTTCCCCTCTAATGATTGTGGCCCCGCCCCCAATGTGCCCGATGCAATTACATCACTTCCGGATGACGTGATCGCGGTGCCAGGAGACTCCAGGGGATGTCCGGGATTCCCCCCGCTATTACAGAGGTAGGACTTGGCAACCCTACTGAATACACAAGCTTCCATTTCCTCAAGGGAACTGATATCTGTAATCTGGGATCAGACAGTCTAGGGGTTAGATAGATGAATGGAGGATAAGACTATCAATAGCTACTAGCCATGGTGACTGACGGGAACCTCCACATTCGGAGGCACCGAGCCTCCGAATCCCAGAGCCAGGAGGCAACAGCAGGGGAAGGCCTCGGCCTCGCTGCTCTGTTGCTGGCCCTCCAGAGGAACTGGTTGACTACCATGTGAGAGAGGATGCTGGACTAAGATGGACCACTGGTCTGATCCAGCAGGGCTCTTCTGATATTCTTGTCAGAGGAAGGCCTCGGCCTCTCTGCCCCGTTGCTGGCCCTCCAGAGGAACTGGTTGGCCACTGTGTGAGCCAGGATGCTGGACTAGATGGACCCTCACTGGTCTGATCCAGCAGGGCTCTTCTGACATTCTCATGAGGGGAAGGCCTCGGCCTCTCTGTCCTGTTGTTGGTCCTGTTGTTGGCCCTCCAGAGGAACTGGTTGGCCACTGTGTGAGACAAGATGCTGGACTAGATGGACCCTCACTGGTCTGATCCAGCAGGGCTCTTCCGAGGTTCTTCTCAGGGGAAGGCCTCGGCCTCTCTGCCCCATTGTTGGTCCTCCAGAGAAACTGGCTGGCCACTGTGTGAGACAGGATGCTGGACTACATGGACTGCTGGTCTGATCCAGCAGGGCGCTTCTTATGTCTGGAGATTAGTTATAATTCTGGGAGAACTCCGGGTCCCACCTTGAGGTTGGCAACTCTGGCACTGAGGCAGCAGAACCCTGAGGGGGTTACAATGGACCACTCCACTTCAGATTGCAGGGGATGAATTCCCAGATACGAATGTTCTTTCACGTAGCCCTCTTTCACCTATAGATGGAAAATGATCTAAATGGGCAGAAATATTCTACTTCCTTTCTGTTTGCAGGGAGTTTGCAACTTGGGGAAGCCTTCCATAAGGTTTATTCCCACCTACACGTTGAAGTGGGGCAGTCCATTCTATCTCCTCAGAGCTCTTCCTCTGCACTGTCACCTCACCCTCCTGCGTGTGTAAAACGGGCTTTATACTCGAAATTTCGGCAGCAGCAGAGCGGGGCCAACTGAGGACGGGATGAAGCCTGTGGTTGCCAGCTCTGGGTTGGGAAATGTTAAGTCAGCGACTTAACAAACGAGTCAGAGAGTGATTCAGCAAAAGACCAGCTTTATTCAGCAACTCGTAACTCGGCTCCAAACACGGATCAACTCTTATAGCCAGAACAGCTTTTGCATTGAAGCTGTTCCGCTTCTAAACTCTCCCGGCTAATGTAGCCACGCCCTACCATACAAATCCCAACCAATAAGGTTGTCTACATAAAGCCCAATCACTGACGTTCCCGCTCAGGGAGCTTGATGGCACGTGATTGGTTGGTTCTTCTTGGGCTACCAATAGGATTGGAGGGATTAGGATCCTAGCCCAGGACGAAGCTTGACATGGAACTTCAATTAGGTGATTCACATACAGTCATGTATTACAAAGGCAGCTATGGAATAGATCACAGGGAACACCTGGAGATTTGGGGGGTGGAGCCTGAGGAGGGCGGGGCTTGGAGAGGGACTTCGATGGGGTAATGCCATAGAGTCCACCTCCCAAACCAGCCGTTTTCTCCAGGTGAACTGGTCTCTGTCCCCAGGAAAGCAGTTGTGACCCCAGGTGATCTCCAGTCTCCACCTGGAGGCTGGCAACCTTATGTGAACTGATGCAATTTCACATGTTTAAGCTTCATTGGGGGGGGGGGGGGATATTGGAGGCAGTTCGTTTTTGAGGAGGGATTTAAAGGAAGAGGGGACATTCCGTGGACTGGTGGCCGACGGTCACGGCTTCAGTTGGTGGTGCCTCCACTTAAAATGATCTCAGGCAGGGGTCATTTCGTAGAAAAAGAGGTGCAGGAGCTCATTAGCATAACTCATTAGCATAACTCATTTGCATATGCCACACCCCCTGACATCGCCGGAAGTGTGTCAGAAGGCAACACCCACCGCTCAGGCTCCACTGAATTGTTTTGGATTGCTAGCTATGGGGGGAACATGCAGATCTGTCCTCGCAGAGGAGGGAGAGCTGGTACCTGAATAAAACTTGGTCTTAAAGGTGCCACTAGACTGTTTTGGACTGGGTGAGGGAGCAGGGGGGAGCTCTCCAACTTACCTGGCTGCTTCTTACTCTGACTGAGGGCTGCTGGGAGCAGGGGGTGGTGCTTGTTGCATGTGCCCGCCCCCTGGGCTCTTTACTGCCGGAGCTCCGCTCCTGTGCGCTTCTGCAGGAAATGACCCCTGATCTCAGGTAGCAGGTTCTGCGAAAGATCTTTCTCTGCCTTGGATCCTGGAGAGCTGCTGCCAGTCAGAGTAGACATTGTTGAATTAGTTTCAGAGGCGACTGTGCTGGTCTGCAGTAGAATGGTTAGATTCGAGTCCAGTAGAATCTTAAGAAACTGTCTGGATTTTGGGGGTATGACCTTTGAGAGTCCAAGCTCCCTCTGTCAGATACAATGGGGGAAGGGGAGAGCCATGACCATCACCTAGGGTTTCCAGACCCCAAATGGAGGTGGAGGTCTTCTACCACCATGCCACATGCCTCAGCCACTGATCAGCTGTCTGGTGGGGCGACGAACCATTAGAAGGAGGAAGGCCCAGGCCACATTGCTGGTGTCACACAGGAAATGACATCATCATGCCAGTGACTTCTGGGTGATGGTCTGATATTTGGGCAAAAACTCTATGGTAGAAGCCAGTTTTACCAGAGAGTTTTTGCCCAAACACCACAGTGTCACCTGAAAGTCGCTGTCATGATGCGGTCACTTCCTGTGCGATGCCGGTGATGTGGCCGGGGCCCTTCTCTCCCTCCTGGTAAGTTCCCCCACCTGCTGCCAGTTGCCATGAGGAACCTGGCAACCCTACCATCACCCTGAGTTCCTCGAAGGAAGGGAGAGCTAAAAATGAGACAGAGGTTCAGTCCGAAAACTTTGTTTGTTTATTTATTTATTTATTCGATTTACTATCCCGCCCTAACCCCTAAGGGTCTCTGGGCGGCTTATGGAGGGTGCTAATCACATGTACAGAATCTAACCTAGGGCCACAGACATACAGGGGTGGTGACTACCCTACCAGGCACCCTTTTTTGCGGCGGATCTTCGGTTGTTGTCTTGTTCTTGCGGGCGGTAGTCGGCGGCGTCCTTTCTGGTGCTGGTCTTTGGGGTTCCCTCCTTCCGGCTGTAGCGATTCCATTTCCGGGCCAGGACCACTCGCACTTCCGCGCATGCTCCTCTGCGTCCTCTGTCCCGATGAGGCTCCGGCCTGCTGCGTTGCTCCGCCTCCACGCCAGTTGGTCCGGCCCCCTTCGCTCGCTCGCTCCTTGCCTTGCCAGCCACCATTTTTCTCCGTCGCCGTCGCCGTCGCCACTGCTTTGCTGCTCGGTACTCACTGCTGCAACACAGGGACGGGTGCCTCCCCGCTCTAGTAGCAGGTACCCATTAGTCTAATCGACCTTTAATGGGCTTTCGAGCCGCTGGGTGGGCGGGAGCTGGGACATAGGGCCGGGGGCTCACCCCGGCCGTGGTGGGGCTCGAACAGCCGAAGCTGTTCGGCCAGATGTACGTGCAGGCATCTCTTACCGCCTGCACCACCGCTCCGTTCAGTATTATGTCACTGGACTGGAATGTTGGAGGAACCTACCCGGGGACACGAATAATCGGGCCAAATATCAGGGGGGGGGGGGAATCTAACCTAAAATGAGAATCACAACCATCTGTCTGGATTGCGAGAGGGCCACGAAGCTGCCGACCGATTGTGGAGCACCCAAAACATACTGACAATTTTCTTCCGATTCTGTCCACAAACGTTTCCGGGGCCGTAACCCTCGCTAGCTTGGTGAAGCAATGGCATTGTATATTCGCAAAGAGAGGAGCTTTCCAAGTTCCTGAGAGTACCCGTCATTCAATAGCGACATGTTCTCACAAGTGTTTGATAAAAGAAACTAAGCTTCTCTGTGGAACACTTTTCCTCTCCGCCCCCGAAAAGGCCGTCATCTGGAATGCAGCTGAAGACCCAGCAGCAGCTGCCGCTGTAAGCTGGCGGGAAGGAGAATGCCTGACAGAGAGAAAATATTCCCATATTTCGGTCGGCTGCCTCGGCAAGAGAGCTGAGTGAGCCCCAGCAAAACTGGACGGGGGAGGAAGACCCGGAGCAGAGGCCGCCAGAGTTGCTCCTCTTCTTGGCCCACAGAGGGTAAGGTTGTAAACACTTTACTTTCTTTTTCAAACGACCCACGGGAGTACGGCCTAGTCAGGGCTATTCGTTGGAAAGGTGAGGAAGTTTGAAAACAGTTTTGCTTCCCTCCAGTACCTGGAATGTCTGAAGGCTCGTGTGAGGCCTACGAAGCTGACGGTGGCCCTGTTCCAACAAGATGTCTTTCAAATAAAAAATTCCCTCCTTCATGGGTGACTTTTTTCAGTCTGGGTCAGCATCACCTTTAAATCGAGCCGAATGCAGTAAAGTGGCCAGTGTGGTGTGGTGGGTTAGAGTGTCTAGGCTAGGATTTAGGGGTGCTTTCACACTCACTAAGTATTGCCGTTCCAGTCCACTTCAGTTTTGCGAGTGGATTTTGCCACGCCACACAGTAAAATCCAGTTGCAAAGTGCATTGAAAGCACCTGCGCACTTCTTCAGAGACACTGAAACAAGCTTCCTCAAGCCTTACATATAGGTGGTGGTGGTGTTAGTTGCCAGGAAGGACTAGTTAGAGTCAGGATGCACAAGTAACTGGGTGAGCTCTTCTTGTAGCAGGAACTCCTTTGCATATTAGGCAACACACCCCTAATGTAGCCAATCCTCCAAGAGCTTACAGTAGCCCTTGTAGGAAATGCTCTGTAAGCTCTTGGAGGATTGGCTACATTAGGGGTGTGTCGCCTAATATGCAAAGCAGTTCCTGCTACAAAAAGAGCCGGATTTGTATTTGTATGCTAATTTGCTGCTGTTCACAGATTTTACCAACTGCTTCAATCCAATCTCAGCGATAATTGCCCAGTTACTTACGCATCTTGACGCTAACTAGCCCTTTCTGGCAACTAACTGCCCCCCTCTACCTATGGTTGTGGAATAGGGTTGCCAGTAGGGTTGCCAAATAGCACTCACCTCCTTGGCGGGGGACTCCTGGGCAGCTCCCGGTGCGCGCGCATGCAAAGCGCGCGCCACATCTACATCACCCGGATGTGATGTCATGACGCCGGGCACACTGGGGGCGGGGCCACAGCCATTTGAGGGGAAAACATAGAGTTTTCCCCTCAAATGGCTGTGGCCCCGCCCCCAGCGTGCGACATCACATCCGGGTGACGTGCACACGGGGGTGGGTTTTCCCCCGGGGCCCGATTCCGTGGGGGTGGAAATCGGGCCTCCAAAGCGGGGGGAAACCCCCCCGGGGGGGATTTGGCAGCCCTAGTTGCCAGCCTCCAGGTGGGGCCTGGAGATCTCCCGCTTTTACAACTGATCTCCACAGGGGTCATTTCATAGAAAAAGAGCTGCAGGATTTCATTAGCATATCTAACAGGCTATTAGCACAATAGCTTATTAGCATACGCCACACCCCCTGACATCACCGGAAGTGATGTCAGAAGGGGAAATAAAAAGAGGGGAAGGCATCTTCAAAAGCCTCCCCTCCCCTTCCCCAGCCGGTCTGCCAAGGCGGGCTAGGGGGGAAGAAGTGAAGAGAGAAGGGGTTTAAAGTTTAAAGATCTTTCCATTGTATTCTATGGCCCATAGAATATAATGGAAAGAGAGAAGGGGTTTAAAGAACTTTCCATTGTATTCGACAGCCCATAGAATATAATGGAAAGAGAGAAGGGGTTTAAAGATCTTTCCATTGTATTCGATGGACCATAGAATATAATGGAAAGATTATATTCTATGGGGCCATAGAATATAATGGAAAGATTGCGCCGCTGTTGCAGTGCGACTCCAGAGAGAAGGAGCGTGAGGTCAGGGGCGGGCAGCTGGGGGCAGGGCTTAAAGTTTAAAGATCTTTCCATTGTATTCTTGCCGCCACCGCCATTTCTGCCTGCTCCTGGGTTGCCGGGGCGGTGCTCCGGCGCGCTCCGGGAGCAACGGACCCCATGATCTCTAGTTGACAGAGATCAGCTCCCCTGGAGAAAATGGCTGCTTTGAAGGGTGGACTTTATGGCATTGTACCCTGCTGAGGCCCCTCCCCTCCCCTCCCCAAATCCTGCCCTCTCCAGGCTCCACCCCCAAAGTCTCCAGGTATTTTCCAACCCAGACCAGGCAACCCTATTGCGGAAGTCTCTTTCAATATATCTGCAGTATTGTGCATGCACGTGAAAGCTTATACCCAGAATTAAACTTTGTTGGTCTTAAAGGTGCCACTGGACTGTTTTGGACCGGGGGGGGGCGGGGGGAGCTCTGCAACTTACCTGGCTGCTTCTTGCTCTGACTGAGGGCTGCCGGGAGCAGGGGGTGGGGCTTGTTGCATGTGGCTCTTTACTGCCGGAGCTCTGCTCCTGTCCGTTCCTGCAGGAAAATGACCCTTGAAGGATGGTAAGGTAGGCATCGGGTGAGCTTCAAGGAACAGGTCATTCACATGAAGCTGTCTTATACTGAATCAGACTATCAGCTGATCGAGGTCAATATTGTCTGCTCAGACTGGCAGTGGCTCTACAGGGTCTCAGGCAGAGTCTTTCCCATCAACTACTGACACATCCTTTTAACCTGAGATAACGGGGATTGACCTTGGGACCAGTGTTCCCTCTAAGCCGAGTAAGTGTGAGCTAGCTCACAGGATTTTAGCCTCCGGCTCACACATTTTTGTCTTGGCTCAGGAAGGATGGCTCCAGAGCATACTAATTTATGCCGTAGCCCAACCGCTTGCTCAGTTTGGTGTAGTGGTTAAGTGTGCAGACTCTAATCTGGTAGAACCGGGTTTGATTCCCTGCTCCTCCACTCGCAGCTGCTGGATGACCTTGGGCAAGCCATAGTTCTGTCAGAGCTGTCCTGGAAAAAGAGCAGTTTCTGTCAGAGCTCTCTCAGCCCCACCTGCCTCACAGGGTGTCTGTTGTGGGGAGGGGAAGGGAAAGGAGTTTTTAAGCCTTTGAGTAGTGAAGGGCAAGGTATAAATCCAATGTCCTCCTCCTCCTCCTCCTCCTCCTCCTCCTCCTCCTCCTCCTC